AATATATATATATTTTTTTTCCTGCCTTTGAAAAATGCAAACGGACATAAGTGAAAGGGTCCAGGAAGCTGAATTGCTAGGTGTGTGACAACAAAGAGGGATCACAGGGAAGTCTTTGAGAAGGAAGTAGAATTGTCCATCCTTAAAGAATGGGAAGGCTAACCACAGGCAAAGAAAATGGGATGTCATTTTTATTTTCACAAGGATAAATGGCATTCTGAGTGGATAAAGAGCAGGAACAAAACAATTAAAGGTAGAGAAAATACCTCTTTTGGGAATTGCAAGGGTTCCAGATTGACTACAACACACTGTGTTATGTAACAACACATATGGTGTTTACAGTGTTCCTGCTAACTCCAGAAGGATCACTAGGAACTAAACTAGGAAAGTTCAGAGTATTAGACATTCATAAATGACATTTAATGATGACTGATGAAGGAGCTTTGATTTAATTCAGAGATTGTGTAGTATAGTCATTAAGTGTGGATTCAGATAGACCGATGTGACAGGTCCTGATTCTTACATTTACTAGATGTGTAATCTGGGGTGCATATTCCAGTTGAATAGAACATCTCATAGATTGTATAGATTAACTGAGTTGAGTTTAGGATGAAAAAAATAAATAAGTTTAGAGTGTGTCATATAGTAAGAATTTAACAGCTGTTAGCTGTTGAGTGCTACTATGTTGTAGGCACATTTTCTCTAATTTCTCTTAGGATAAAAGCCAGTCTTTACCATGTTTGCAAAGTCCTGAATGATCTGTTTTATATACTGTCTCAGCATTGCCTAAGAGCAGAAAAGAAGCAGGTTACAGAAGCACAGTGAGCAAGGAAAGAAGTATGAGATGATGACGATGATAATACCTAATATTTATTGAATATTTGTTAAGCTAGGCATTGTCTAAGCCTATAATTTCTATTATTTAATCTTCAGAACAAGTCCATGGAATAGGGGCTTACTTTTCTCGTTAGAAAGACTAGTCTTAGCAAAGGCACAGAAGAGAGTGAGGGAAAGGAAATCATTTATTGACTACTTTGTATGTGCCAGGTACTCTGCTAGGATCTTTAATCCTAAACCACAACCATGTATTCTTATCCCATTGAATAGATAATCCAGAAGATTCTCTATTAAGTAGGCATTCTTGTCCCACTTTTACAGATAAGAAAGAAGTTCAGCCGTTAAGCCGCTACTGCTAGTAATTGACAGATTCAGGATTTGAATCCAGGTCTGACTCCAAAGCATATGCTCTTCCCACAATGGAATGTTACCTCTCAGCAAGCATGACAGCTCTCTTCTTGTTTCTTCTCCTACTTCAGACAAGAAGGGACCAGCAGGAAAACGTCCCAAGATTAAGAACCTAGGTGAGACATCAACTAAAGTGGAGAACTCCAGCCCTCAGAAGACTTCAACCTCTAAAAATTGCACGAAAAATCTAAGCAGCTATTGGCTGATGAAGTCAGAGCCAGAAAGCCGTCTAGAGAAAGGTGTAGATGTGAAGGTGAGACCATGTGCCTGTCTCCAATCCATTCAAGCTATTTTCTTTTAATTAAGAAATGAATATGGGACACCATAGGGTTCCATCACCAGCTTCTGAACTTTGAAGGGTAGGGAAAAGGTAATAAAGAATAAAATCAGCAGGATTTATTACCATCAACTATCTGTTCTTGTGAATCCTCTATCTAGGACAGGGAAGGCAAACTTCTTCTGTAAAGGGCCATATAGTAAATAGTTTAGGCTCTCGGGTCTTATAGTTGCTGTTGCAACTCTGCCATTGACAATAAGTAAACAAATGGCATGGCTCTATTCCACTAAAACTGTATTTACAAAAATCAGCCATGGGGCTAGATTTGGTCTAAAGGCTGTAGTTTGCCAACTCCTAATCTAGACATGTCAATCATAGGTTGCCTTTCTCTCGCCACCTGCTATGCTCCTGATTCAGAGAATTAATGCAAACCAATTTTAATAATATAGCCCAGATAAAATCTGATTAAAAATATTATAGAAGAAATAGATAATATTTTAATTGACATACAAATAACCAGCAGATTACTTTATCCTCTGGATTATCCATTCAACTAAACCTCTTAATTAGCAAGGATAAGGTAAAAAGGCTTACTTACATTTGCCCAATACAAATACCTCTGTGGAGCTATTTCCCAGTCCACTACATACATCTCCACTGTAGCCAGATGCACCCTTACTATAGGGGAAGGAGTGATCTGCATCCATATATTCTTACCAAATGGCTCAGGATTATTTATGAATGGCTTTATTTCCTGTTGCCTAGTTCAGCATTGAGGATCTCAAAGCACAGCCCAAGCAGACAGCATGCTGGGATGGTGTCCGCAACTATCAGGTGAGAGGGGAAGGGCAGGGCCTTGAGACCTATAATGGGATAAATGCCTGCCTCCTTCTTATGACTTATTCAGTAGCAAAATCTTTTGGCCACGGTTGCTTTTTCCCAGAACTCAAACCTAAAAACATACTAAAAAGTACTTTAATTTCTCTGACTGCATGCAGTCAAATGGTGTGTGTTCTAGCCGGTGTCCTGATACAAGTCTGGGTATTTTGGCAAAGGTAAGAATAGAATTGAAGGAAATTGCAATAAAGAAAAACTCATCTAATAAAAGTTGACTTGATTTCTGCTAACAGCTAGTGTTTCCTAGCTGGTCAGGAGGATAATTCTTAATCTCCCCTGGGATAGGCTCGGAACTTCCTTAGAGCCATGAAGCTGGAGGAAGAAGCTTTCTTCTACCATAGCAACTGCAAAGAGCCAGGCATTGCCGGACTTATTAAGGTTAGTTGCACAGGCTTTGGTCTGAATCCCTCTCCCTTCAGCAACACTTACTCATGTAGATACAGAGGGATACAGCTTAAATAGGTAACAAAAAAAAAGTGCCTTCTTTCCCATTCCTGATCTCAGTGGAGTATGGAAAAACTGCCTTGGCCTCTTCCTGTGTGGCAAGGACTATAACAAGGCAGGCCTTCATTTCAGGTCCCACTGGTGTAGACTTCTATTTTTACACTTTGGTTTCTCACTCAAAAATTCTTCCAAGCCAGGAGTTATCAGGATAAAATTATTAACTGCAGGAGGAAAATGGCACAAATAACCTTTAATATTTGGTTTTAGAAGATACTTTGAAGATTGTCAAAACAAGGTTAATTTCATATGTTTGTCTTAGACTATTATTTCCAGATATCAGAGCCCTCATTGGCTTTGCAGCCAGGCAGATGGAATAAGAAGTGTGCAGGGTCAGAATTGAAAGTTGGACTTGGATTAAAGATTGGCTTTGGAGCTCACTATACAGGAAATTGATTGGAGGCTTGGTTTTGGTTTCAGATTGTGAAGGAGGCTTACCCAGACCACACACAGTTTGAGAAAAGCAATCCCTATTATGATCCCTCCAGCAAAGAAGACAACCCCAAATGGGCCATGGTAAAGACTGCTATTTTCATGAGGGGAAGGATAGACAAAGAGAGGGAGGATGGTCTGGGGTATCTCTAGGTCTAAGTACAGAGACCAGCTCTTATACATGAGGGTACCCTGAATTTGGATATAAGAACAGAAAGAACACTAGCAGCCTGCCCATAGGAACCTCCTGCAAGCAGCTAAAACACAGTGGACATGTCTTCCTGTCCCATACACTGTTGTCATGTAGGTGGATGTACAGTTTGTTCGGATGATGAAGCGTTTCATTTCCTTGGCGGAGCTCAAAACCCATCACCAAGCTCACAAAGCCACTGGTGGCCCCTTAAAAAATATGGCACTCTTCACTCGCCAGAGACTCTCAATTCAGCCCCTGACCCAAGGTAAGAGCGAGCCCTGTCCTTTATTACCCATGCACTAGGATGATGCCATGAATTCATTTATTGACTAAACTTGGGCACAGTATTTATGCTGTCTCTTCGCCTGTAACATCCTCATGGGAGAAAATAATGTCCTGAGTTTTGCGTTAGTATGTACCCACTACCCAACAATGCTTGGCATATAGTAAAACACTCCATAAATAGTTTTTGAATGATTGACTACCTGCCTTGGTACATGAGGAATGCCTAGCATAACTTCCCTGTTCAAGAGGAGAGAGGGGACCTAATTCTTCCTTTTTTCTCTTTTTGGTAGAAGAATTTGATTTTATTTTGAGCCTGGAGGAAAAGGAACCAAGTTAACTGATACGCTGGAATGGGCAAGACATTATTCCAAAGGAGTGAAGCTTTTATAAGACAAAAGGTGTGAGGAGGCTTGCTTGTTATGTTCATTGGGGTTTGTGTACATAGGTGGGTTTTGTGTACTTTCTCAATAAAATGCTAATATCAATGTTGGAAAGCTTTTATTTTACAACAGCATTGGGTGTAGAATACACCACTGTAGGCCTTTTACCTCCAGGCTGGCTTCTTTTGTCCCTTGACAAGATACAGGGCTACCTCTACCTTCTTCTTTCACTGTGGCAATACCAGAGTGCACAGCTAGTCTGTTAACACCCACTGAATAGAACCGACCCCTGGAGTTATATGGGTCCCACGGGGGTGTAAACCATCAGCAGTTTTAGGACAAGTTGCTAGACAGAGGTAAAACCGGGATTCCTTTCTCAGCCATTGTCTAAAACATGTACTAATAAAGGGCCCTTCATTGTTCACCAGGGGCCAGACACAGAGAGGGCAGGCGTGTTGGCTCTGGGTAGGAGGCTGTCTTCCCTGTGTGTGAGGTGGGACGGTGTAAGAACAAAGAGACCACAGAACCTGGCGGATCATAGGCATAATGCCTCCAAGCCACAGAGGCTTTCTTTAATCAGAGAGACAATTGAAACAAATGTTCTTTTTTTTAAAATACAGCCATTGAAAAGACGACACTTTAAGAAACATGTAAACACCGCAGCTGCTTAATTACAAGTTGCACTGCTCGGTTTAGTACCTATACACGCCCAGGTATGCAGACCTTTAAGGAGGGGGACAAGAGCCTCCCCTCACTTTCACAGTTGGACAGAGAAGAACGGGGGAAGAGAAACAGAAGACCTGGCTTGTGCACAACTCCTGAGAGAACAAAAGCAAATTCTAACTTCTAGTTCTCCCAGAAGAAAGGTTTAAGATGTTAGCAAAGTTGGAAAATGAATTTGTATTGTCCATTGGGAGGCAGAGGAATTGACAGATGCTTTCTAGTTAGAATACCATTATGGGAGGCACACAAGAGCCTGAGCTCAAGATCTGAAAATGCAAGGAACACAGAACCTGCCTACCCCGTACACTTAAGCCCCAACTTTGAAAATGCAGGGGCAGCTGAATGAGTGATCCTGTTCCCATGGGGATTGTCCATCGCACCTGAACTCGGGGTCCAGCATAGGGGAAACCACTGCGCTTTCCTTGGTTCTGCTGTGCCCAGTCAACCCCAAGTGTTATCCCAAATGCCCTTCCCTCTAGTCTCAGTGCTGACCCATGAGCCCTGCCCAGTCAAAGGCCCATGATTGCACTGATTTTTGAGGAAAAGAGAAGTTCCCGTTTCCACACTAACTGAAAGATGACACAGGTACCAACCCTCTGCCTTCCTAATTACAGAGTATTCACACTGCCAAATATTGTACTTATTGGCCAGTGGGGTCTGCGTGGTCTTCTTCCTAGAAGGGAAAGGAGGCCAACAGGAGAGTCATTCTTGGTCACTTCCAGATAAGGCAGAAAAGGATGTCAACACTTCAACAAACCCAAGCACAGCACAGCAGAAGGAAACCCCTCGCCTCTAGTATAAAAAGAATATCCATGACAGTTTTTATCCATGTGTTTTAAAACAAAAACACCAATGGTCCTAAATGTGGTCAGTCAACTGGTGATGAAGACATAATTTGGCAAGCAGAATTATTCCGAAGTTGTGCAGCAGTCTTCTTCTGAGTACCTCATTGCTCTCCCGTAATTCTTAGGTTTAAGTAGGGAATGAAAGAGCTTGGGCGACAGTAAGAACAAAATTTTCAATTGTTTGAAACCCAGCCCTAATTCTCTGAAATTAAATGAAGAGCAAGGAGTGATGAGGATCTACTCATTATACGGGGAAGCAAAGAGATCAAGGCTCCTTCTTGGGATCTGTTCTTGAAGGAAACAGATGCTCCTGTTTAGACTTTCTGGGGCATATAGAATAATACCCTAAAACCACCCAGCACTCAGGGCTGATGAATGGAGACACATAGTGAAGGCAGACAGCTACCATGTGCAGTTATCATACTTCCTCAGTGGACTAGCTTGGCCTCCTGTGTCTAACGCTGCTGCCCTCCATGCATGACACTGACCCCAGGGTGTCTCTGTGTCAGAATTTCTCAAAGGTGAGGGGACAATCAGCCAAAGGCCCTTCCACAGGCTTCTATTCCAGCATATTACTGACAAGGATCCATATAAGATGGAGAAGGTAGGTGCCTGCGTCCCAGCAGGGAGAGAAAGGCCAGAAAGGAGGTGGCTTGTGGAAACGTCAAAGCACCACATCCGAGATTCCCAAAGAGGTAGCTTCCTGATCTTGAGTCTCCCCCTGGCCACTTAGGATGGGGCAGGCCCAACTCCTTCTGCCACTACCTCAAGGACTCATGGGAGGACAAGACATGACTGCCCAGGGCCCCATTGGCAGCTTAGAATCTCAGGGACGTGGGTCAGATCTTGTATCGGGAAGCCAGAGAGCCAGAGCCAAAGATGCTGGCACTCTGCTCTCCAATACGATGCGAGGCAGCTTACGTGCAAGGCCTCAATGGAAGGCTCTTTTCCCAGAGACACAGCTGCTGGGATGCTACCTCTCGCTATTCCCATATCAGCCGCAGAATCCCAGGGACACTGCTTCCCAGCCCAAGCCCCTTAGGTTCTTCAGAAAAAGGAATTTAAGTCAAAATCATGATTTGTTTTCAGGTTGCAAGTGACGGGTCAGCTGAGCATCACACTGTCCCTCCCCGTCCCCCACCCCACCAGCCACTGGTGTCTGGTAGACGGGAGTGTTGAGTGGAGGCCCAGCAGCTCTTGGCCCTGGGGGCCTACTGCCTGCAGTTGTTGTCAGACAGCTGGCTGGGGGTCCGCACTTCACCCAGGGAGGTTGTGCCCTCGAAGCGCTGGGAGGCAATGGCTGCCTGGTGGGACATGCTCTTCCGCACGATGTCGCCCTTCCGCCACAACACCACCTCCTGCAGAATTGGGAGGAAGCAAAGTGACATCGTGAGAGAATGGTGTGGAGATGGATTTCCCAGAGGCTCCAGCTTTCTCCTGGGGATTCTTAGGCAAAATCCGCCTCTACTTACTTCTCATCAAAGATAACAGCCATCCATACCTCCCTGTCCCCAGAGCTTCTTTGGATGGTGTGGGCCAGAAAGGCAGAGTGGTTGCTGGGGTTGGGCCTGAGAAAGCAGACTCTAGGTATCAACTGGGAACCCTCATTCTTGCTGTGGGACTCCAGGTAACCCAGGGTTTCCACCTCTTGGTAAACCAATAAGTGGCATGGAGACTAGTACTGTTCTCCTTAACCTGTCAGAAACAAAGCCTGATCTTTGCAGATGATGCTGTTACTGTTCTGTCGCTAGGGCTGCCAGGGGTCTGGAGGAGGTGCCCAGGCCTCACCTGCTGTTTGAAGTAGCGCCGTTCCTCCTCATCTATCAGCACCAGGTTGAGGTAATAGCGCACAGAGAACTTCTTGTTGATGTCACGCATGGTGGGAGTGAGCTCGTAGCCTGCCAGGAAGAGCCGGATTGGGATGGACTCTCCTGTAAGGGCCAAGCAGGAATCAACAAGGGACAAAGTCACCACTCTACCTTACACCAAGTCACTCTGACCAGAGCAGGGAGATGCCACCTGAGCATGGCATGGAACACTTAAGCAAATGCTTTTGCCTTATGGGGAGTTGCATTCCAATGCCCAATGATTTGCTGAAGCAAAAATGTGACTCTGCAATTCCATTCCAGGTTGTGTCTTCTAAATGTCCTTCTCTCACCATCCCCTCAGAGGGACCTGTGAGTCACAGTGGAGATGAACTGCACAGGGATATTACTGTCAAGAATCTTTTGATCACATGTAATACATCTAGTTGTTGGGTTTTCAAGAGCCAATTGTCAGACCCCAGCTAACTTAGAAAGTCACCCAGCAATTTGGATGCTACTTTCCTCCATCCTAATTAGTGTATGCCCTCCAAAATACATCTCCACTCTAAGATGGATTGGCAGGATGGTATAATGTTCTGGGAAATGGAAAATCCTCATTCTGGTCCCAGTTCTCCATTAACCAGTTGTGTGAATTCTGAGTAAGTCTGTTGCTTTCTCTGGACCTTAATTTTCTCATGTGAAAAATTACGGAAACAGATTATGTAATATTATAGATTCCCTCCAGCTCTAATACTGTGCCTTTCCTACTATAAGTGCAACAAAATTAGGGCAATAATTCTACTGAGAAAGGCCAAACCTATAATGGAGTCTAAAGCTAAATATAAATGATCTTTCAATTATCTGCTGTTTTTGTATTGTTTCTCAGTGTCCCATTTCATTCGTACAGGGAAAATGACGATTGGTTCAATGTGCATAGCTGCTGAAAAAACGGAACATAGAATCAGGAGAGCTAAGTCCTATTTCTCCAAGGACCTGGAATGGTGACACTCAAGGATATGGTGTCATTGTCTCCGGTGTTTTGGGCTGCTAAATTTATGATACTCCTACTTCTGCATGTAACAGACTGTGGGAATACACTGAATAAAACCTTGGCATCACCAAGCACTTCTAAATGAAGAAATACATTTTTATCGTTATGTAAATGATGGCTACTCCCAAATAATCGTATAGATTCCCCAAATAACAAAGCTTTCAACTCCACTCATCTCAGACGTAACGTTAGCTCTGTTGGGAATGAGGAGAGAACCCTTTTCCTATCCAGTTCTTAGTGCTGTCTGTAGCCCCTAGTAGTGCTGGCCGCAGTTTATATACTTGGTGAATGAATTCAGAGAATGCAATATTTTATCAGAGCTAGAACTAGGTAACAAAAATGACTCTTCTGTTATCAATCTCTTGCCCCCTAGCAGCAAAGAATGTCAGAATGTCAACAGGAAAAAGTAAGAAAATATTAAAACTATATCTGCTAAACCGGTATTTTACAAACTTTTTTGTTTTAACAGGCATAACTCGAGATTCAATCTCTGGTACAATAAGCTCACTTTAGAAACGAAATGAAAGTAGAGCTCTTGTGGTCTTCTGGGTGAAGACAGGAGAGAAGTTGAGTTCCACAGACTCAAGGCCTCCTTTTCCTCCTTACTGAGACCCCAGTGTACAATTAGAGATTAAGAAATTATAGATTAATAGAAATCTCACTTTAACAGAGAAAAGGCAAGGTGGCTAGGGATTGTGGGGGCCATGAGGCTCACCTCTCACTGGTGCTCCATCCATGATCTCATACTTGGCTATTGTGTCATTTTCATGGTACACATTGGGGCCTGTGCCCGTCGTTTCCCGCTTGATAATGTCTATCTCCATGTGCTTGATTTTGATTCTCACCAGCAGGAAGTATATCTTCCCTACAATGACGTCTTTCAAGTGGTATCTAGGGAAGAGAAAGTAAAGAAACTAAGATGTGTGCACAGCAGCCAACCCTTTGCACATTTATAGGCCTTTATATTCTCCAGAGAGGGTACTGTGCACTGCATGTTGGCTAAAGATGGAGTTGGTGCACACTTGCCCATATTGCCACCCATACTTCCATTACAGACTGATTTCTCACCATGTTCTTTACTTGAATCAAAGTAATTTCTGTCCCTTCCATTCTTCTATGTACAGCTCAAAAGATGTTTTTCCTGCATGTTTCATCACCCATTCATGTTTGCTCATCTGATTTATCTGCTCAAGCACTGTAACTTCATTTATGTTTTGTGTTTGTTCTTTTAGATATCCTCATATATGAGAGGCCAGTCCCACATATGCAAAAACCAGGTCTTGCTTTTCCTCTCTGGGCTCCACGAAATGTCTTTTAGGAACTGGGCCTCAATGACCCGTAGCAGTTTTGCGTGCAATGGACCTGACAGGCCAGGCAGGAGCAGCAGAGCAAGATGCATGCATCACCCTCCATCCGCACCTTCACTCTGGGCTCTGCTCACATGGCTTCTGCTGTATGAGCTGTTAGGAATCTGGCTACATTGCATAGTGCTTTTCTCTGGGTCAGGCAGTAGTGCTGGTGGTCTGTATGTCTATAGCCCAGTATTAGGCATGGCAGGCAGAGAGCAAAACCTGAAGTTCAGAATCATAGCACATGAGTGTTGGCAGGGACTTTGGAATTTAACCTCGTAACACAGCAGGTGAAGAAAAGGAAGTTTGAAGTAATTTAACTAGGATTTGAGTAGGGGATAGACACAGGATGTTAACCCAAGTTTCTAATTTCCAGGCTTTGCGAAGACTATGGAGGCTCTAAGTAGATAACCTAAGAACACTTACAAAAGCAGAATGTAGGCCACTCACAGCATTTCAGAAGAAATGCTTAGAGATCAGAGATTCTAGGGGGTTTCCAATTTTAATCAATTGAACATTTCTTTATTCTACATGGAATCTCAGACAGAAGCACTGATATGCAGGCACATAGAACAGCTGCTCTTATGGAGGGCCTAAGGCCCTGGCTGCGAGCTCTTTGACTTTACTCATAGAGTGTGTGTGTGTGTGTGTGTGTGTGTGTGTGTGTGTGTGTGTGTGTGTGTTTGAAATCCACTAACCTGATCTAAGCCCCTCATTTTTCAGAAACCCAAAGTGCAAAAATTTTAATACCTGCTAACTTTAGCTCTACTCCTTAATGGCAGAATAGGACATAATTCCAAGTGCTGGGCTCTTTGTTATATCATATAGGGCAGTGCCAGAGCCTGGGAGTATCCAGCCCTTGACATCACGTAACTGACTCTCAAAAGTGCCTTTCATATACTAAATTTGGTCGTGAACACATTGCTGACTGATAACTATTCTGAACTCCTACAAAGTGGCAATACCTGCCAGCTACCCACTTTGTCAGGTGCCTAGGGTCTTGATGGGCAGGAAGGCCCACAGAGCCCCGAAACTGCGAGAAGAAAGGGGAAGAAACTTGTTCCTTTACACATCCCTGTGGGCCCAGATAAACTTTCCTCCCAATTCATCCCACCCCATTCCATAGGTGGACGCCAGGCCATGCAGGGCCTGTTCTGGATCACAGTGGTCATTTTACTGACACCCCTTGGTTCCAGGCCAGGGGGCAGGTGGAAAAAAAAAAACACATCTTTTTCTCACCCGTTACAGGAAGCACCTATGTTCTTGGTATAAAAGAACCTTGTTCCCAACCCCTTTGCAGGAGGTCATGCGGCTCAGTCCCCTTGCTCTGAGCTTCTGGATAAGTGAGTCTGAGATAAGGGTCTTTCCACAGGGAGAACCCTAATTATAGACTCTGACTTTTTTTTTTTTAGCTCTCTGTAAATAGAATACATTTTTACTTTCACGCATTTGATTTTCAAACATTTTCAAGAATGTATTATATTGATAAGAAAGATGCTGTGGTACATTTTTGAACTGTACATGTTGTGATTTACAAGCACTTAAATATTTTCATGTTCTAACAGTAAACACAGTTTAAAACATATATGGCTTCTCAACTTGCCGATTAGAATAAAATTATTTAAAGATCTTTATGAAAAGGCATCAGGTATTTTTCACCTCGGCCGGTGTTTGGTTTCTTCACTTTGCCTTCTAAAGACATACTGTATATAGGAGACAGATGATAATGGAACAATGTTGAAATTATTTTCAGCAGTAAAAGGAAACAGCTGTAACTGGAATCCAAAACAGCCTTAAAACTAGTTCAGCTTGACTTTCAAAGACATCATAGGGTGTTTAACTTAAATTTACCTTCTTCATTTAACATAGCTTAGTTTACGTCAATGCAGTTTTATTTCCTGGCTAATCTACCTTCAACCAGTCTGGCACCTTATATTCTCTGTGTCATTTCTGTGATCTCTCCCATAGCATGTCACCATGAAAAAGCAGAAGCAAGGGGCTCCCATGACTTTGCATTCTGATCAGGACCGATCTTAACCTGCCTAAACAGTTCTTTGACAACTTGGGGCCCCAGGCGCTTACTTGGACTTGTTGTACTCAAACTCGATGTGCAGACAGTCCTCAATCCCAACCTCCATCTTGATGGAAGAGTTCAGCTCTGGGTATGTGCTGAGTGTGTGAACTACAATGTCCATCTCTTTGACAACGTCATTGAGGCGGCGGCTGATGGTGGCTCGAAGGAAGTACCTGGAGGAGATGGACGTGTTATGAAGGAATACTCCTGGTTTCCAGTTGCTATATGTAGGTTTAAGCACCAAATCAACCCACTTGAAAGAACCCCTTACAACGGTTAACCTTTGGGGCTTTGCATTCCTTTGAGAATTTACTTCTGTGGACCAGAAAAAATGCACCTATGCACTTATACACAACATTCTGCAGTTACAATTCCAGGAAGTTCAAAGGCTCTTCCCCCAAATCCCATTTTGAGTCCATGCTCTGGGTTAAGAATGTTGCTCTAAGTAAAAGTGATTTCTCAGCTCTGTATTCTGGTAGCATGTTATTCCTGTGACTTTCACAGTCCTCACCATTACCTACCATGTATTTGTGAGTAGGTTTTATATTTCAACTAACTCCTGGCTCTTTGGGTACAGGGATTTATCTTATACTCCTATCTGCATGGCCGTTCGTTTAACAATATTTAATCACTAAGCATTTTAAGTTCCTCATAGTTAGAAGAATAGAAATGGAGAAATTAAGTTAGCTATTTATTCAGCAAATGTTCACTGCTAGACATAGGATGAATAAGAGACATAATCTCACAGTCCACTGGGGGAGATGGACAAATAAACAGAAACATTAGAATACACAGAAAGTGCTAATTCAGGTATAGGAATTGAGTACTGGGAAGAGAGAAAAAAGAGCATTTGGGAGAATAAATCTTATAAGTAAAGCAACAGAAGTGGGAGAGGACCTGCTGTGTACAAACAAAGAAAATCTCTGGCTGAACTAGGATCTTCAGAAAGGGGGTTGCTGTGGTAAAGGGCAAGTTAGAAAGAAGACAAAAGACACAGCTCCTGAAGGCTTTAGTATGCCAAACCAGACGTCTATGGCCAGCCACTTTAGTGTGGCCTTCCCCAGCATGCCTGTCCCCTTGACTTAACTCTGCTAATACCCAAGGAAATAAGAAATACCCCTTTCATTATATTTTCTTTTAAATAAAACTTAGATAAGCCCCATCGTCAAGCATTCCTGGAGAAAACTGCTAACCAGATCAACTACACATTGGGCTACTCTCTTCAGTGTGGCACTGCTTCTTGGCAGTCATTTCATTCATCTCAGTAACATCCATCACACTCCCCAAGACATTTGTTCCTAACTCTTTTCTAATTGCTCAGGCTCCAGGCCTTTCCCTCCCCTTCTCTTACTATACTAAGAAGATGAAGGCCTTACAAGTCATGATTTATAATTCTCTCTCTTCTCTTCTTTGTGCTGTTTTTTTGCTTAGGGTTTAAACATGTGTGTCTGTACCATTGCCCATCCTTTCCTCCTTCCAATAGCACCTCTATCTCTCAGGACATTTTTTCCTTCTCCCTCTAGCAGATTGACTCAACCTGGATACACAGCAGAATCACCTGGAGGGAGGGGCTTTAAAAATCCTGATGCAGGAGGCATAACTGATTTTAATTGCCCTGGAAAGGGACAGAGGCATCAATATTTTTTAGAGCTTCTCAAATGATTTTAATATGAGAATCTTGGTAGAAAGTCTACTGTCTGGCATCTTGAACCTCCAACTTTTCCCATTTTCTTAATGTATCAAATCTCTCTCCAGCTAAAGGCTTCTTGCTCTGAGTTTATAAAAAGTCCCAAACTCATCAATCCCCAGAACACTCTCCAGGCCTTACACTCTTGCTTGACTGTCCTTCAGAGACAGCTGTCACAGAGGGGTCTTGTTCTAACTACTGCAGCATCTTCCCCAGTCGCCACCACCAACAGAAACTGCCCTCCTGAAAAATATAACACCCAGCCTCCCAGCTGCCTAATCCAGTGGCCTTTTTTTCAGTGTCAGTTCTACATTAGAGTTTAAAACACTTCATCTTCCTTGAAATGCTTTCCCATGGTTCCACAGGAGGGCATTACACTGCTTCACCTCCTACTATCCGCTAATAGCCCCCAATAGGCCCTGAGCTCTTCTCTCCCTTAGCTTTCCTCCTTGGAAAACGTATCAGTTATTATCACTGAGCAGATGATTCCCAACAGTGCATTTTTCTGTCCTGAGTGCCAGGATTGAATTTCCAATTGTCTAGTGATCTTTCACACTTCTCTATTCTGCCACTGCTCCAAACTTTAAAATTGGATGAATCATCTTATTTACAAATCATCTCTTCCTCCTGATAGCCCTCTGTCTGTATCTCCACTCACTAGTAAATTCTGCCTATGTCTATTAAATTCCCAGTTTTCTGCTTGTTTCCTGCAAAACTCTTAGGACTTCATACTATCCTTCAAACTGTTTTTTCTCCACACTCTACTCATCCATCAAATACCACATGTTGACTTTAAATTCATCTTCCAATAGAACCACTCCCCTGCCTAAAAACAAAGAAAAAAGAACCCAAAACATCATTGTCATGTTTTCCCTCTGCCTATGTAATAAGATACAAGCCCTTAATCTGGAATTTACATCTTCTATAAACTGTCCTTAAATAATTTTCTTTTCTTTATCTCCTTTCTTTCTCAACATGAATCCTAAAGTCTTCATCAATTTCAACTGCAACACCTTCCTTTCTTTTATTTTCCTTTTTTACTGTGGTAAAATATAGAAGGGGTTCAGAGTATGCCACCTCAAAATATGACACTCTGACATAAAGATGATATAGAGCTAGAAGGAACTGAGAGGAAGCAGATACCAGAAAAATGATCGGCCCTCCCCCTCTCTTCCAGGAAGATGGACATTCTTTCAAAGAGACATTCCAGGAAAGTAGGACATTCTTTCAAAGAGACGACTCCAGACTCATATCAGCCCAGAGACTACACCAGAGAAATCTATATAACAAACCTTGCTAAAATGACCCTTATTTTTCATTTGTCTATCCCCATTGGTTTACCTCCTCACAATTTGTTGTCCTAGAATCTCCAAGTCCCTTTCCTTTTTTATCATTTCTAAGATTGTTTTTCTATTAAAATGCTTATGTAACCCAAGTTCTAACCACCTCTTTGAGTTACTTATCCTTGAGCTCCACGTGTATGCACAATGCATATGTGAATAAACCTGTTTGTTTTGCTCTTGCTAATCTGTCTTTTGTCACTCTAATTTGCAGAGCTAAGCCAATGAACCTAAGATAGGTAGAAGAAAATGTTTTTTTCTTCCTCTACAATATATAACATAAAATTTATCATTTTAACCAATATTAAGTGTACAATAGTAAATGTAAGTACTTTCATAGTTGCACAACCATCACCATCATCCATCTCCAGAACTTTTTCAATTTCCTCAACTGAAACACAGTCCCCATTAAACACTAACTCCCTGGACCCTGGCAACCATCATTCTACTTTGTCTCTTATAAATGAAATCATACAGTATTTGTCTTCTAATGACTGGCTTATTTCACTTAGCATACTGTTTTTAAGATTCATCCATATTGTAGCACATGATAGGATTTCCCTCCCTTTCAAGGCTGAATAACATTCCATTGTATGTATATACCACATTGTGTTTATCCATTCATCTGTCAATGATGGCATCCACCTTTTAGCTATTGTGAATGTGAGTATACATATATCTGTTTGAGTCCTTGCTTTCATTTCTTTTGGATATGTATCCAGAAGTGAAATTGCTGGATCGAATGACAACTCTATTTTTAACATTTTAAGAAATTGCTATACTGTTTTCAACATCTTTCCTTCTGACATAAAAACATTTAAGAAAAATCCACTGCAAAAAATAAAGTTGAATAACAATAAATCCCACAGCCAAGCTTAGGTGCTGCTTTCTGAGTACAATTATGAAATGCCGTTTTTAGTGGGGGCAATGACTGTGTTTAGACCTCACTGCAAAGACTGAAAAAGAAGAGCCTACAAACATTCTTCTAAAGGAAGAGGGAAGATAAGGGAGAAAGGGAGAAAGGGAGGAAAAGTCTTGCTGTATCGGAAAGACAAATACCATATGATTTCACTTGTATGTAGAATCTAAAAAACAAAATAAATGAACAAACAAAACAGAAACGAACTCATAGAGAAAGAGAACAAACTGATGGTTGCCATATGGGAGGGGTGTTGAGGGGATGGGTGAAAAAGGAAAAGGATTAAGAAGTAGAAATTGCCAGTTATAAAAAGTCAGGGGAGATATAAAATATAGCATAGGGAATATAGTCAATAATATTGTAATAATTACTTACAGTGTTAGATAGGTACTAGAGTTATTAGGATGGTCACTTCCTAAGTTATACAAATGCCTAATCACTATGTTGAACACCTGAAACTAATATAATATTGTATGTTAATGGTTATTGAAAAATAAAAATAAAAAATAAAAGAAAAGAAAAAACGTCATGCTATATTCTGCACCATCCTAAACCTAGGCCTTCAGGTGATGAGAATGAACTGATCTTATGAGGTAATATCGAGACCCGGAACAAAGTGTCCAGAGTGACAGAGGATAAAATCTCCTTTATCTCAGTGACATCACATAATCTTGGATTACATCCAAGATGCTACGACTGCTCTGTATTTTTTATTTTTTTTTTACCCCATAGGCCCTGGAATCAGTCCCTATCCCCAGTTTCTGAGACTAGAACAATGAAAACAATCTCATGTACTTAAATCGTGTTTATTATTCTTTTAAGAACTTGTCACTTTGTGTTTTGTTTTATTCTCTCATCACTGAAAAGGTGGAGAGGATAGATCTAGAATTAGGACCCAAATCTATTACCCATTTCTCTAGTAAGAAAGCTGAGTGTCAGAACTCAGGATCACATTGCTTGTGTGTGGCAGAGCTGGACTGAGGATCAATAAGTCCTGATGCCCAGCCAGTGGTGTGCTGGAGGCAGCTTGTACCAGTGTACGACTGTTGAATTTTCAGGAATTTTATCAACTGGTTATTAAACACAGTAATTATTAAAAATTAAATTATATAAACTTATAATTAAATGAATTACATTAAAAACAAAGGTAATACATACTAAAAACTCATTGCTTCCTAATTATTTTGCTACATTTTACAATTCTCTGCTAATGGGGAAATTTACATTTAATGTCTCCGTATGAGGGTAATGCTCTGCAAAGGTGGCTACTGTACTTCTCTTCCCAACTCTGCATCGGGGGATGTCAGGTTGGTAGCTTGAAACTGGCCATGGAGGGAATATTTACTTTAAAGAAATTGACAAATGCTACATACCAGGGTTTTTTCCTTCCAGAGAGCCTTTTGGTAAACATTTACCAGCACACCACTGCTCTCAGCACTCCTCCTCCTCAGTATCCTTATAAAGATCCTCAGAAATGTGGACAGTTTCAGGTCCTGCTCCACATGGGGCAGCTTGGGGGGCAGCTTTTGGGCACAACTTACCGGAGCTTCACATTCTGCCCTGTGTAGGACTCATACGGCTTCTCCACGTGGGTGAATTCAAAGTCGAAGGCCTGTGACTGGGTAATTTCTCCAGGCCGGGCCAAGTCCTTCACCAGGGACACAAATTCATGGTGGTTCCCACGGTCGTAGTAGAGTTCTGGAGAGAGAGCATCGGCCTCCTCTACCAGACCCCGAGCTACTCAGGGCCTAGCAAGGGGCTCCAGGATGCAGGAACCCCTCTTCTGTAAAACCTTCCCCACAAACAGACCTTTGTTTTTGACTCCCTCTTTTCCTAAGCTGCTCTTTCAGTGCATTCCCCATATGCTGGTCTCCCTCCACCGCCCTCCTTTCTAAATACTTTTCCGTTTTATATAGAGCAATCTTGTGGCACAGTAAGAACCTACCATAGTCCTGCTCCAGGAAAATCAGGGCGGCACGTTAATAAGGGATACATCAGGGTAACCACTATCAAACACACCACATTTCTTTAAAAACATTAAAAAATATATTTCTAGCTTTTAAAGTATTCATAGGTATTTAATCATATCGTCCTTATAATAATCTCGTGAGATGGTTAAGACAGGCCCTATCACCCATTTAAGAGATGAGGAAACTGAGGCATACATGGTTAAATGACTGGCTTAGAGGCACAGGGGTTGGCTGCAGAGCTGAGATTAGAGCAGGTCTCCCACTCCTGTTTCTATGACCTAGTAAAATAGGGGTAAAACATAACCACGTCATAAGGTTTTGTGGGAATTAAAGGAGGCAGGGAAGGTACAGGACTTAGAATATAGTACCAAATAGATAGCAAATACTCAAAAAACATTAGCTGCTAGCTGCTATTATCCCTCAAAAAGGAATCCACGTGGCCGGTCTGACACAGAAGTTTTAATGTTATTCTCTCCATCTAAAGCAGAGGTTCTCAAAGTTCAGTGTACATCGGAATCACTTGGAGGGCCTGTGAAAACACAGATTGCTGGGCCCTACCCCTGGCGTTTAATTCAGGGGTTATGGTAGGGGGCTGAGATTTTCCATTTCTAACAAGCATTGCTTAAATTCATCCTCCCTTGGAAATAGTTTTGATATTTCTTTATTATAAGTTCATGTCACCCACTTATCCTATATTATTTTATGCCTGTCTGTACTTTGCTATTTTAGTACTAACTTTTGCTATATGCGTGGTCTTTAGAGATAAGGCCTATATGCCCAGATTTCCTGGTATCCTCCCCTCCACCTACACCCTCTGGCTATGAATTTAATACTGACTGTGACTATATATGGCCACATTATAGCCAAGGTACCACCCCGTGGGCATTTCTGGGCTCCAATCCTATGCTACGTTGCAACCTGAAGTAGGATAGGCCAACTGGGAAAATGGCACAGGCAGAGTGCACTTGCTGCTTCTGCTGTTGGCTGCTTGGGGATAAAGAGACAAGTCCACAGAGAGAGGAGTATCTGGGACAACCACTCACTAGGCCTGGTCCCGGATCTTCAGAGCACAGCAGGCTATCTCTCTCAGGGATATCCAGGTGTCAGGGATGGCAAGAAAGAGGTGCATTTGCTTTGGGTCCACCCCAGACAGAAAAAGGTCTGAGATTCAATCTGGATCAAAGTCATCTTGACTCACAGAAACCAGTTCTCTAGCCAATCCAGAGCCAATACAGTGTCCAGCCCTGCCCTGGGGGAGAATCATGCCCAGAAGGAAAAAATGGTTTCAAATGGTGCTTTTAGTCTGAGCGTAAAATCAACCCCTTGCTGCCCTAGGAGCTGGCCCTGCCACACCTATTCCACAGGGAATGGTTTTCCCCCACACAGGGAGGCATTCTAAAGCTGAGTAGGCTCTGTCCTAAAATTTACCGAACTCTTGAAGGTGGCAGCAGTGTGGTTAATCCAAATGGGTGCTGCTATACCTACGTGAATTTACACTGTATTCTGTGATTATAGTTGTTTCTGATTTCCTAGTATACTTTGATCCATCTACTATTACAAACAATGGAATTGGCAATGGGCAGCATTCTGGGTAGTGAGTAATAATCCACAAAACCACTAAATGGGAGATGGCAGTTGCAAACTATGGGAGGAAAGGACAGGGAAAGGTGAGAAACCCCTTGATCGTTTTAAAATCCAATAACTGTGCCCCTCAATAAAAGGACATGCAGTGACTGGGTAGGAACAGAGCAACTGGCCAGGCCATGACAAGGGCTCCTCTACTTACTCTTGCTGGTCCACTGCTAAGAGCCCTTGTTGATGGTCCTGGCTTCTATGCTGGCCCTGATCCCTCAACTGGGGAACCTGGTGCCTCAGTTCTCAAGCACTAAATTCTGGCCATAGTCTCAGGGGACAAAAGTAGGCAGAGCAAAGCCCTAGTATCCATAATCTTTAAGTGAGAAATCCCAGAGTCAAGAGAAAGATGGGAAAAGGATAGAAAAATACACAAATGTGATCACAGAGCCCAAAGGCAACATGAGAAGAAAAACAGAGAAGGATCCTCAGGCTGCCAGCATCAGAGGATCCTAGCAACAGTTTGCCTGACCTAGCAGGGGAACTTGGCTGTGGCCAGGACCTCTGGCAGGGGTGGTCCTTCCCTGCACAGTGTCACGTTTTCCTTCACACTATTCATCCCGGACACACATGAACACAAGCTCCTACACCGAATGTTATGGAAGGGTGGCCAGTGTGTAGTCTGAGTAGGGCTAGAGTTGACTTTTTCATTTATAATTTATAAGCCATTTGCAATGCTTTTGCAAACACTGTGGGGCAAAGGGGCAGACATGGCAGTCCTACTTTGCTGTTTACCCGAAAGTTTGGTCTCCTCTTACATAAATTAAGTCAGAAAATCCAAGGTTGTTTGGATATTAAAGAGATGGTAAACTGACTCTTTTCCATCTCAGTGATGCAACCACAAGTCATGCCTTGTTCTTATCAACCTCCAAAGCCCTCAGGGACCACTCATTTCAAGCTAAAAGAACCGACCAAGATTTTTTGTTAAGGTAACTTCCCTGTCTTTAGCCTTCTCAGTCCTATAGGAGGAAATGAGTTTTGTAGTCAGGATGTTTTTATGGTGAAACTTACCACTAACGGCTAAGGAGTGAATTTGCCACTTTGGAAGGAAACTGAGCCAGCTGTGCAGCATAAGGTCATCCCGTGAAAGACACCCTGAGACTTGCTGCTGGGCCAGGACCACGTTTGATCCAGGCTCTACAATGGTCTTAGAAGAAATTAATAGCAAGAGCGAAAAGACCTCTAAACGCCTCCTCTACACTCTGATTTTCCCAACCAGTGTTTGCTGACTGGCAACCCAGTCAAGATTCACGCCAGCCACATCCACTCAGATCTCCTGGACCTTGGTAAACCTGCAGGAGCTGTCACGCCCCTGGGCTGCACATAGCAGCTCAGCTCCAAGCTCCACAATAATCTATTAATAGGCTAGAATCAATCCATTTAATTTCAATATGCCTTTTACTTAGCATTTCATGGGTGAATGAATTAAAATATAGAAAGCATCTGAAGTTTTTAGAAGTACAGGCTTGATTGGTGCTAATGGTTTCAGATACATACAGTGGCATTATTATTACCTTTTTTTAGTTGAGGCAACTCTTGGTTGACCTCACAGATTTCAAGGACCCTGTCAGTTTATAATCTCTTATTTTTTTTTATTTTTTATGTCTACAGCACCTGGTCTTCCTAGGTGGTCTCCCATCCAAGTACTAACCAGGCCTGACCCTGCTTAGCTTCCGAGGTCAGACGGGATAGGGCTTGCTCAGGGTGGCAAGGCCATAGATGGAATTACTTTTAAAAACCTAAAAAAAAAAATCTATTTGGCTTTGGAGTATGAAGGTGTTTACGTCTGTCCTCCTCTGCAAGTTCAACCTTATAATTACCTTTGGTTTATTTAACCCCATTAGTTGCCAAGGTGGCCTGGCTGTGCCTTACATACTCTACCAGTGTTCTCCAGGTGATCCCAGTTGAAAAATGGTTTCTCCTCCTTCTAACAACAGAACTTCCCTCAATGCTTCTTATATGTCACATTGCATTCTTCTAAAAATGTGGGTTATTATCTGCTAGAGAGACACAGGAGATGCCCTCACCACACCTTTGTGGGCATTGACAGAACACAGACTAGGCCATCAGAAAAAGTATGCAAAGTGCAGGAAGAATCCCAACACAGCTCAGAAACTTCCTGAGGATAAAAGAAAAACACATATGACACAAATGAATAAGTAAGACCTTATTATACTCTCAGGGGAGCAAAATTCAAACTGCAAAATCTGAGCAGTCAGTGCAGAAATGAATGGACCACAGCTCTGATAACTTTATTTTCTT